GTATATAACCACCAACCCACCATTTACACCTGGTATTCATAGGTCTAGTATGAGAAAAGGCCTACTTTTTCTAAGATGTGTGTGTGTGTGTGTGTGTATACCCAACATCTCATCCCAATCGTTGATATTTTCATTATTATTTGAACTGGGATTGCTAAACTGTTAGAAACAAATGATCATATTGTAAAAACTAAGACTTCAGTTCTATCAAGTTCTAATCACTTAACATTTAGATACCTATTACCAACTGCTTTTCAAAACTAAAATTTCTAAACTAATATAAGTAAAAAAAAAAAAAAAAAAAAAAAAAAAAGACAGTAAAAGAGTAACAGAAAAGTAGAGGGAAACAACCAAGGGAGTCGAAAATTTTCCTCCCTGTATGAAAGTAGAGGCCTACTATGAAATCTTTCATAAGCCAAAGTGGCATAGAGTAAAGAAGCAATTATCATTATTTCATATGGGAAACATTTTTGAGCATTCTCAAATCTCCAGAATAACTTTTCAAATCATGCCAAATAATGCATTAAACCTAAAATAAAACTAACATGTAGTATACACGGATACATTACATAATGATGGTGGCTTTCTGCTGCGATGTAGTTCCTGGGGACAGAGCTTGGTGCTCCATGAGTATATAACCACTAACCCACCATTTACACTTTTGTTAACTATTTTTGTTAACTTTTGTTGGCTACTTTTGTTAACATTATGCTGCAAACAAATGCTCAGCACCAGTTTCACAGTTTTGAGGGTTTTTTTGGTAAAAAAGAAAGTTGTCATCAGATTCCTTTCAGTTATGGAAGACAGATACCAAGGGAGGTCTTTTATAAAAGCAAAGTAGCATAAAGTGACTTTACAAAAAGTGGGGAATACCCAATAATTGCTCAATGTCACTGGAACTCTAACTCTAACCTAGGATAAAGCATGCACATGTTAAGCCCTACAAACCAGCTTGCTGCTTAGCAAATGCCACAGGAAGCACACCATAGCAATACTTAGATTCATCTCCCTAGTACTGGTTGTTGTTGTTAAGTGCCATTAAGTCAGTTCCGACTCATAAAGACCCTATAAGGTCGTGGAAGCAGAAAGCCTCCTATTTTACCTATGGAACAACAGACCGTGTTTTTCGTGGCCCAGTGCTCATAGAGGGTGAAATCTCTTTAGACTCACCACTAGACTCAAAGTCATAGATTCACAAGGCCACTGAATCTATCCTTGCAATGAACTCAGAATGGTTTTCCACATTTGATGAACAGTAATCAGTTATCTCTGTTTGGAAACTCTCAGCAACAGAAAATCTGCTGTCATCAAGGCTGCTCTCGCACTGCCGGATATTCTAGTGTCTAGGAAACTTTTATTAAGAGGGTAAATATATTGGCTTCATTAGAAGTTCACTTATTGTTTAAAATGTTGCCATCTGAAACCTTACAGAGTGGATGTGCCTCTCTTTTCTTCCTGTGGTTGCTGAGTTGGTTTGGACTCATAGTGAACCCATGCACCATGGAATGAAACACTGCCGGTTCTGAGCCATGCTTAAAGTTCTTGTTAGGTTTGAGCCCATTGTTGTTGGTACTGTGTCAATCCATTTTCATGGGGGTCTTCTTCTTTTTCCCTGATCCTACACTTTTGTAAGCACAATGTCCTTCTCCAAGGCCTGGTACCTCCTGACCACATATCCAAAGTACAATAGAGGAAGTCTTGCCATTTTCGCTTCTAAGGAGCACTCTGGTTGTACTTCTTCAAAGACAGATTTATTAGTTCTTCTGGCAGTGCTTGGTACTTTGAATATTCTTTGTTAATACCATACATAATTCAAATACATGGATTCGTCTATGGTCTTCCTTACTCACTGTCCAATTCTTACATGTATAAAAGGTGACTGGCAATACCATCCAATTTCTTCCTGAGGCACCATTAAATCAGTAAAGATATTTACTATCCACCTAGAAAATCCTTTTTAAGTTTAAAGAAACTCTAGGTTTTCCCATATATATATATATACACACACACACACAGAGCTGGTAATCCCTGATATCTTCAAAGAATAATTTTAGAAGAACAAATAAAAAAACAGAAACAAAAACAAAAAAATGAGGTTTGTCACTTAGTTTTATGTATGTCACTGTGATTTCAAACCTAAATTTTCATTAAAGTCAATCTTCTACTGACTGAATTGCCATGCAAACTCACCAGTCAAAATCGGCCTCTGTACAGACACAGGGTTCTGATTCCATAGCTCCTGCATATTTTCCTTGCATACATTTCCGCTCTGATTTTCGCTTCTTATATATCCTTTTTGCTCCCATGATGCATGCCTCCCCCTGTAAGAAGGCAAGATCACATGCAATTAAGCAGTTTTCTTGGGCTTTCCCCGCTCAACATCAGCCAGTTTAGGAAGCTGCTTTCAATGTTCAGTGTAACCTAGACATTGGCAGTCTGCTTTGTGCTAACAACATTTTCTTTTCGACCCTTGGAACCTTATTATAGAAGGTGACTATAAAGGAAATCCGAAACATCAAGAGTATGTCCAAAAGAACATTGGCTACCCGTAATGTGTGTGGGGGTGGGGGTGGTTACAAAGGCAAGAATTGCCTGGCTTACAAGCTTTCAAGAGGGAACCTCAATCCAGAGGGTGTGGAGGACGGAAGAATCTTCACTAAGTAGTATCCAATCTGTCTAGGCGGGGCTGAATGAAGGAAATGCGAATGGGTCTCTCGTGATACAACAGTGAATAATTGTAATCAGGATTGATTGTGAGGGTTGGAAATATAAAAGTAGACATTTTGTAGCAAGGAGGGGAGTGATTAACTTTGAAGTCTAGGAGCGGAGGTCCCTGGGACAATCAAAGGGAGAAGAGCGGAGAATGGGACCCTACCCAGAGAAGCAGTGATGCCTGAGATGGAGGCAGAGATGATGACATGGAGAGATGGAGCAGTTAGGGACTCTAGACCCAGAGAGGGAGAGGGGCTGTGTGCTGAAGACAGGGGGCAGACTTGCAGTGTATATCCTTTGGTTGGTTGATGATGCATGGAGAAGATTGTAACCATGGCAATGAAACGATATACAATAGGATGAATGTAAAACTAATGTTCTTCCATGTAAGCTATCACATAATTCACAATAAAACATTAAAAAAAAAAAAAAAAAGAGTATGTCCCAAAGAATCTCAATTCTTGTGCATTCAGCAAACCTTTATTTGGCAGGATGTTAGTCACAGTGCCAAGAGGTACATACAGGTAAGTACCATAAGGGGCAGTCTATAGTCAAGTACACACAGGTAAGTACCGTAAGGGGCAGTCTATAGTCAAGTGTATTGTCTGTAAGTCTACAGTCATTAAAGTGAATTCTCCTGTAATAAAAAATGCATGCAGTCATTTGTGATCATATAAAAGAAAATGAAGGCTAAGGAATGTGAAGACCTATTTTATTTTGTCCTTATGTATTATGCTTCTGCCCACACAGCTGTATAGCACTGATTTTATGCTTTTCTATCAGATATTCTAAGGAACTGAAGTCAGTGTTTCTCCATAATACAAGTTTCCAATATCATAATGCTTGTGCATCCCAAAGGGGAAAATACCAGTAACGTAAATGAACTCTAATTTTAAGGCAGAGCCACTGAAGAGAGTGGGTGTTTCTAACTGATGCGGCCATTCCATCAAATATACAGCTTCTTTTGTGTGCTGGAAGGATGAGAACAGAGTTTTGTTTAATCGACAATGAACTGCCTTTTCTGAGCAGACTCACTTTGCCAGGTTCCCTAACACATTTGCATGTAAATATATTACTTAGTCTAGGCTCAGGGTCTACAAGATTTCAGTGCCTGAATACAGTGGTGTTTCTACCGCAAAAGCAAAAACCTCTGTCATGTCCTTTGAGAGGCCTGCAGGATGAGATCTGTCTAGGGAAATCAAAGGAGAGATGCTTTCAATACAGCAGTTTGAAATGAATTGAATTGAATAGCTGATAGACCAGGGCGAGGGAGAGTTTCCTATGAAAATTTTGCATCCTTGTACCATGAGTCCCCTGGAAGGAGGCAGGAAGCAATACCTAAGTCCAGGGAAACACAGCAATGGCAAGGATGGCTTTCTTTGGCATGGCTCACAAAGCACAATTTTATTATTTTATGCTTCTGTTTACACAACAAGATAAAATTGAAGAACTTTCCTCATCCCCGCCCCCACCCTCCAACCATATGACATGCTCAGATGAATTATGTTCAGATTTTAGTGCTGAGTGTGTATTTCATTTAAAGTTGTAAGTCTAAGGCAAACACATTTGAATTTTATCTCATTATATCCCAGCACAATAAAAACAGAAACTTCACAACAAGCTATAAATGTTGTGTTTGTTCACTCCTGTAGAACACAAAACATGTCAGAAAGCATGAGTTGAGCATTTCTGGTCTGCTGGTGGTATGCTGTGGAGTCGATTGTGGCTCATCATGACCCCGTATAGGGTTCTGAGGCTGTAAGTCTTTATGGGAGCAGAAAGCCTCACAAACCTCACCTTTCTCCCACGGTAGTTTCAAACTGCTGACCTTAAGGTTAACAATCCAACCTGCAACCACTATGCTATCAGAGCTCCTATTTTTGGTCTAGAGAACCCCAATTCTTGTATCTTTACCACTTTCATACCCCCAAGTTCCCATGCCTACCACCCAGACCCCAACCTCAACTCTCTTCTTACTTGACTGTGCAGCTGCCAGGGTCTGTAGTCCTCCTCGGCACACCGTCTATCGAAAATGGACTTGTAGTCCACTTTGACCAGCTGCCATTCAGAGCGGTGGCTGAAGTGTCCGAACACTCTGCAGAGCCCGTGATGATAAGAATAATCAAAATTCCAACAGTGAAAACAACCTTTGCTGAGTGTTTGCTGGGCACAATGCTCAATGGATCATATGATTTAACCTTCCAAACTCACTTACAAAGTGGCTCTTACTCGTATTACTGGCTCACTACACAGATGGGGAATTTGAGGCTTACAAGAGCTTCACTCAATTGCAAACAGCGAAGTATGCAAACACTGCAAACATTAATAACCTGCAGAGTCAGATCCCACCCAATCAGACTCCAGAGGCCACTTTTATACACTGTACAAAAAGAATTGTTCAGAAAAATTACAAATACTGCCTTCTATGTTGCCCAGAATGATACTATTTTAAGGTTCCATTGCTAACTGGCATGGTTCCCATGGTTTCTGAGATATGTAACTTCCTACCAGTTCCTAGGAAAAGTAGGCAACCATGTTAAACAACTGTGGTCATTTCTGACACTTTGAGATCTACTCTCCTTTCAAAGAAAGGTATTTCATGAGAGATTTGAAATCACCACTCACAGGCGTGGATGGAAGTCACAAAGCAAACCTTTTGGTCAGTTCCTTTTTTATGTTTTACAAGTATAAAAATTGGATAAATCCACATTCTGGATGAAATTACTATCTAGGTATGTTTACCATGGGCAAAAATTAACCATTAAGTATATTTACTTTTGTTGTTGTTTTCTACCATTAAAAAAAGGTGGCTAAAATAAAAAGAAACCCAATGAACAATGTGCCAACTATCCACTTTCATTTAAAAATCTTCATTGATGACTTTCTGTTTTCCATGTCGAATTTTTCAAGGGAAGCGAAAGAATCACAGTTTCATATTTCAAATACAAGGGCCATATTTTGAAGCCGATAGGCAACAGAATCATTAATCAAATCTTTCACAAATTAATGATCATCAATTTCCAAACAGAAACGAGCACAAATTGAATTTCGCAAGAACAGATTGTTCTTGCGGTTTTCCTAATATGCCTCACAATTGGATTAGGTAAAGAGCCAGAGAAAAAGAAAATCCTTTGTGCGCTTTTGATCAAGATCTGTGTTCTGTCTAAAGTAAAACTCTTCTTACATGCCTGTGATTTTATGTATAATCTAGATTGTTAGTGATTACAATTTAAAATTTATAGCATTATTTTGTTTTGGTTTTTTAAATCACTTCTGGTTTATCCAAGCCCAGTTAGAGAAATAAAATGGCTTTATCCTCTGTTGACACATCTCAAATTGGGTTTTTAATAACTAGTAAGAAAAGTCCTTGGGTGGAGCAAACGGGACTATTAAACTGAAAGGTTGGTGGCCCAAGTCTACTCAGAGATGTCTTAGAAAGGCCTGACAATCTCATTCCAAAATCTCAGTCATTAAATGTTGTTTGGAGCACAGTTCTACTTTGACAGACATGAGGCCACCAGAACTGGCGTCATCTCAATAACAACTTTTTAATAAAACTATCAAAAAGTCCAAAAAAAAAAAGATGGCTGCCCACATTTTTTTCTTTTTCTTTTTCTTTGCTTGGGAATCTTGCTCTCAGACACACTGACTCTGCTGTCTTAAAATCTCGCCGCAGAAAATCAAACAGGCTTTGCTATAAGACAACTTTTTCTTAATATACTCTCATGTATTAGGGCATCATAGTTGTCCACTTACGTCATGATTAGAGTTTCTTCCCCAGGCTCACCCAGAACCCCATCCACAAAAAGTGGAATAGATGTGAAACTGTACTTGCTCCATGATCTCCCTTCATCAAAACTCAACCTAATGACAGAAAGAAAAATGAGAGTACAAATAAGTCATTGAATCTCAAAAGGAAAAAAACCAAACACACACAACAAAACAAAATCCTTTGGAAGGACAGGTACTATCAACCAGGAGAGAATGTAATTATAAAGCATCTGGGGCAAGTGTCTAAGTTTGTTTTTCATATGAATAAATGTTCCTCAGTCTATCAGAAGGCAGACATAAAAGGAAGGTTCAGAGTGTTCATGGAAAATGGAATTAAAATATGATGGAAAACTTTCCTCGAACTTTTCAAAGGTCCCTTATAGAGTTATCCAAGTGATTTGGGAGCCAGATGTGTTTAAATAGCAATAAAGAGAGAAGGTTCTGAAACAAACTAATGCTAGGTCTTTGGTAAAATTTTCTTTTCCATTTGGATGTTTCCTCTGATCACAGATTCCAACAAGATTCTATCCAAAATCGCAGTCTAGTCACATGCCTTATGGGTACTCCTAAAGAGCAGTGGTCTTATGAGGTTTTCTTCAATGGACAGCAAGCAGCCCATCTCTAAGCATCATCCTTCTTATACTGTTACCAATGCTGGTAGAATGCCCCTAGATAGATGGGCACAGAAGGACAGGCTGTTGAGAGCAGGAAGACAGCAGTCTGCAATGATGACGGTCATACAGATGTGTTCCTTTGCTCTGCCCTCCTCTCTGGATGCCTTCTTGTGAGGTGACCCTTTGTTTCTCTCACTTCTGCATCCCGATACCTAATGTGGAGTCATGCTCTCTAGTTTCCACTGTGTAGTCATTACTGAAGCATAAGTAAAGGGGGGAACACTAAGCTTTGAACTCTAAACAATCTAGCATCGGGAAAGGTGTGCTTTCAACATCCTTATTCATCCTGTAAACTGAGCCAGTAAGCTAGAAACTGGATTCTATGAAGAAGAATGTGGCATCTGGATTGGAGGAAGACTCATTAACAACCTGTGATATGCAGATGATACAACTTTGCTTGCTGGAAGTGAAGAAGACTTAAAATACTGATGAAAATCAAAGACTACAACTTTTGGTATGGATTGTACTTCAGTGTAAAGAAAACAAAAATCTTCACAACTGGACCAATGAATAACATCATGATAACTAGAGAAATATTGAAGTTCTCAAAGTCTTCAATTTGCCTGGGTGCACTATAAACACTCATGAAATCAAACAACAATGTATCCCATTAGACAAATTTGGTGCACATGACCTCCTTAAAGTGTTCAAGAACAAAGATGTCAATATAAGGACTAAGGAATGCCGGACCCACACCACGGTGTTTTCAAGTAGCTCATATGTATGTGAAAGTTGGACAATGAATAAGGAAGGCCATAGAAAAATAGATGGATTTAAATTATGGTGTTGGAGAAGAATATTTTAAGTACCATAGACTAACAAAAGATCAAATCAATCTGTTTGGGAAAAGCATAGCAAAAATGCTTAGAAGCCTAGATAGTGAGACTTCATCTCTTATACTTTGGATGTTACCAGGAGAGACCAGTCCCAGGAGAATGCCATCATGCTTGGTAAAGCGGAGGGTCAGTGAAAAAGAGGAAGACCCCCAAGGAAATGGATTTACACAATGGCAGCAGCAATGGGCTAAAACACAGTGACCGTGAGGATGGCGCAGGACTGGGCAGTGTTTTATTCTGCTGTTCGTAGGATCTCTATGAGTAGGAACTAACTTGACACCACCTAACAACACCAACATACGGAGAGAGCCACTTTCAAAAACAGATGCAGGAAGGAGCCTTTTGCAAACCTCTCTGAAAGTTATGAAAGTCCCACAGGCAGAGCTGCCAAATGTCACCGGAGAAAAGGCAGGATTCGGTGAAATGAGGTAAGAGCAAGAGTGTCAAGAACAGCTACCCTTGAGAAGAATACACATAATGAATGGAAATATTAAGCTCCAGGAGATGTGGTTCGGATAGGTGACTACTGCAAAAGCTTCTTGGAGACCAGCTCAAAGTGAACATATTTTATCCGTGATTTTGCTGGAAGAATAAGGCTGTTGAGATAGAATTGTCATACAATTAAAAACCATAATGGAATTTCACTCCTAAGGGCGCAGACCTTTTGTTTTGAATTGTTTTTAGTTTTAATCTCTCTCTGTCTTTCTCCACCTCACTTTTGTAAAACAACTGTATTTTAACAGCGCAAAGTTGTGAATTAGGTTTGGTAGACATTGACATTTCATGACCCACAGAGTTACATTTTGTCTTTGGACCACTGGACTCCTGCATAGATCTGAGCTGTGCAGAACATCAGCTGAATGTCTGATGGGCAGCAGGTGCCATTACCAGAGATGTCGAATTGGGAGAGACGTGTGCTTCATAGCAACCAAGACTCCACCTTGATCCAGGTATAAAACACTGTGCTCCTCCTCAAATATCTAGAAGAGGAAAACACATCCTTGTAGATACACATGCATAGCCATACACAGATTTTAGAGATTTAGTCCCAAATAAGGAGAAAACTCCTGCCCACAGTAGGAACCACCGTTGAGTTGATTCAGACTCACTGTGACCCTTACAGGACAGAGGCAGTCAATCTCTATGACAGCAGAGTACCATAGAGTAGCTGCTGATTGCGAACTGCTGTACCTCCAGGGATACTTACAGTTTCAAGAGGTTTTCCTAATTTTTTTTTAAAAACACAGTTCTATAACTATGCTTCCTAAGATGGGACATATATATCATTAGTCTGATATGACATAATCTATGTGGGACACACAGGAAATTTACAATAAATGAGTAGTTATGTATTCATGTTTATATCCCTTGCTTTTTATGGTAAACTCCAGTACTTATCCTTTTTGTTGTTGTTGTTGTTGTTGTTGTTGTTAAGTGCCGTCAAATCAATTCTGACCCACACTGACCCTGTATAGGGTTTCCAAGGAGCAGCCAGTGAGCTTGAACTGTTGACTCTGAAGTTCAAAGCGACTTTGCAGTCCGGCACATTAACCCTCAGTGTCTCACCCTTTTTTAGGATGTCAGACTATTAGGAGTCTTGTTCTGGCGCTGGTGTGGTCGGCAGTTCAAGCTCACCAGCTGCTCCTCGAAAACCCTATACAGGGTCGTTATGGATTGGAACCTACTCGACGGCACTTAACGACAACAACAACAACAAGTGTTACCTGATGTGTTGCTGTGGGTTCATGCACTGAACTGCAAGGTTGGTTTGAACCGTAAGGTTGGCCGTTAAAGCTCACAAGCTGCTCCTAGGAAATCCCTATACAGGGTTGGTATGGGTCAGAACTGGCTTGACGGCACTTAACAACAACAAATATTACCTACCATTTGTCTGTTCCTTTGTCATCCTGCAGAAGCATGCTTGTTTCTGTGATGCTGGAAACTATGTCACTGGTATTTCAAATAGCAGCACGGTCATATGTTATACACATTTAGATGGAAAGAACATTGGACATAACATTCTCCATTCCTCGCTTTTTCACAGATGAGAAAATTAAGGTTTAGAGAGACATGGTGACTTGCCTAAGACAATGCACACAGCAACTGAAAGAGATGGGACTTGAAAAGTGTTCTTTTCAGATCTAATTATTTTAAAATGTCACCGTATTATTGAATGAAGATGTCCCTATTGAATTCAGAGATGCTCTAGTTACAAGATCACCAGAAGATAGTTCGGATCAAAATGGAATCCTTATCTTTTAGCACATATATCATTAGATCTTTCTCCAAATGTGAAGAAACCAACTTAAGTCAAATGGAGGCAAGTTGGAAACATCTCTCAATCGTCTCCAATAAAATGCACATAATTTCTCACAGGCACTTTATCAGTACAGCCTTATCTGGACTCACACTACAGATATCACCCTTTTCTTTTCTATTTACATTCTATGCCAAGGTTTACAACATAAGGATTATAGAAGCAGAGACTTCCAGACTCTATCTTCTTGGGGTGCTGGGAGGAAGAAATGGGGATTCTGTCTTTCTAATTATTTTCAGAGGAAGCTTGCTTCGAGTAGTCTATATTCCCATATATCCCCAAGATCTGCTCTGAGGCTTCTTAAGCATATTTCCCCCCTATTGTCTTATCTTTAAAATAGAGGAATCCCAGTGAGGATCAACAAAGGGCCTGAAGCCCAGGCGGCAACTGGACCATAATCTGGGCCATGTCTATCTAAAATTTAAAGCAGTGTTCTCATTGCTAAGTGTGATTACCTGTGCATTAGATTTCATTTTACAGTGCTAGTAATTGTAATATAATTAAACATCAGTAGGTTATTAAAACATATTTACTGAACTGTAACAAGCACGCATTAGGCACATATCTTGTTATGATTGCTAGACCTCATTAAACTCCTGTTTTATAAGCCATGGGTATCTCATTTTCATTCAGAAGAAAGACAAAAGGCATTTCAGATAAACACATCAGTTTAAAGTGATCCCTTTTCTGTTTTTTTTCTAGCATACATATCCTGATGGTTATTACTCCACCTTCTGCACAGGAGATGTAAATCTAAGAAGACCACCTGGGTAATGGCTACTTTGATATCCCTGTATTCCTCTCCATTCTGACTTCAAGGCAAGAAGAATCTACAGAGGCAACTTAGTGTTAGGTAAACAATCTACCTTCAGCTCTACATTCCCTATATGAAAATTCAACGGCCTTCTGGTTTTCTTTTATGGGGAAAAATCAGTCTAAGATCATTTGGTTTCCTTGTCATTTATCAACCTTCTTACATAGGCTCTCTGAGTAAGGAATCTCTTTATTAAAAATAAAAATCAAATTGTATAAATATATGCTTAACTCAAAGACATAAGACTTTCATAAACAAGGAAACTGAATACATTTGCAGGCTTCAGAACATAAGTATAGCATTGCAGACAAATTCTTCAGTCCTGAACCACGGTGGACAATTATTCTGTCACTTAAACTACAGTAACATGGCCTGGAATGTTCTTACCTGTCTCCAAGTGTTCCCTGCATCTGAGGAGACAAACATGCTGATGTCACTGTCTGACAATTCAGAACCTATGTTGCCTGAAAAAGAATGCATCAACATTAGTATAGGAACATTCTGCAAAAGTTGAACTATACTGAAGTCTGTGTTTCCTGAAATGGGTTTAGACTGTAAACATATCTGAGTAGGGGTTTTCAGTAGATTTGCTTCAGGGTCAACAGTTTAGGCGCCTGTCAGAAAATTTCTAGTTTGCTAAGGAGCTCTGGTAGCATAGTGGTTACAAATCAGGCTGTGAACCTTAAGGCCAGCGGTTCGAAACTACCAGCCGCTCCGCAGGAGAAAGATGAGGCTTTCTACTCCCATAAAGATTTACACCCTCGGAAACTCTGTACAGGGTCGCTATGGGTCGGAACCGACTTGACGGCACTTAACAACAACAAGTGAAATACGGATATCTTGATGTTGTTAAGTGCTGTCGAGTTAGTTCCAGCTCATAGTGAACCTGTGTAGTGTTTCTAAGGAACAACTGGTAGATTTGAACTGCTAATCTTATCATTTGCAGTCCAGCACTGATCCTACAGCATCATACCAGGAGTCTAGCTTCTTAAAATAAACACTAATTTAAACAGCAAGCATCGTACCTGAAGCTACTATGATGCTTGGAGCTGTGTCTCGACTGGCGATGATCCCAGACGTGTAGGGATTCTCAGAGACCTTCAGGTGAAGGTGTAGTGAACAGTAGGGCTGAGAAGAGAAGAAACGAGTATCATAAAAAGACAAAATTTTAACTGATTTTTAAAGCCCAGATTCAGAGCATCCATCCCTTCATTCAGTCATCCCTTTCATCCATCCATCCACCAGTCTCCAAACATCTAGCATTTTCTGAGTGTGAAACAGCTACCAAGTTTATAAAATAGAAGGCACCTTCATTTTAAGTCTAATCTCCTGATTTATCTTTCAATCAACAAATATTTTAGTACCTTTTTTTGTAAAACTTATACAGATAAGTTATATATGTAGCTTACAGAACAGTTACCTGCTATTGTAGAATTGCAATCAAAGGAGAGGACATAAGACGTTTCTACTGATCAAAGTTTACCAGTCATAAACAGAGACGACAACAAAAACTTGTCTGTTTTGCTCTTTTGCTTGCAACAGTGTATATGCAGACTTTACTGTAAGTGAAGCAGTGTTTAAATACTGAGCATACCAGATGAATTCTTAACAATGTATTCTGGCAGAAGAATGTTGTAAGGATACCTACAGTATTCTTAGATGTGAAACAGTCACTTAGTTATTTGGAATGCTGACAAGAGGGAAAAAAACAAAAAATCCTCTCAAATACTTCTACATCTATTTGCTTTTGCTTTTCTTTAACTCATAAAGTCCAGTGACACTATGCCACTCTTAACAATTTCTGGTCCTGTGATGATATGATCTTCAGGTTTATTAAGCAAAGCTGTTCTTCATACATATGAATTAATATCTAAAATTGCTTTTGTTTCTTGTTTGTTTTTAATCTGCCAAGAGAAAATGGTATTTGGATCCATTTTATTCGACACCGTAGCAGGTGTTTTGTTTTGAACTTTGTATTGTAGTTTCAGTGAAAGTTTACAGAGCAAGTTAGTTGACCATCTAACAATTTATACTCATTCTATTTTGTGACGCTGGGTGCATCCCCTCAGTACACCAGCACTCTTCTACGTCCTCCCTGGTTCCTTGTTTCCTTTTGTCCTTCTTTCCTGCCCTTTCCTACCTTTTGAGTTTGGTTTTTAGGCATATGCTGTCCCTTTGCTCACGTGTGGTGACTGTACTGAGGAGTGTATCCCTCTCTGGTATTTTATATATTCATTTTCTTGTCTTGTCTATTGTCTGCTGAAAGTTAATCCCCAGGGTTGAAGGGTGTCTAAGAGTTAAGTTCAGGGGTCCCTCAATCCCTATCAAATCAATAAGTCTGGTCTATTTAGGGTCCTGAGTTTTGCTCCACAGTTTTCTCTGACTCGATCCAGGAACTCCTCTTGGTATCTCTTTCTGAGTGGTCAGCAGTGGTAGCCAGACGTCATGTAGTTCTTCTGGTCTCAGGGCAGTGGAGGCTGTTGTTCACATGGCTCATTAGACCTTTGGACAAGTCTTTGATTTCCCTCACTCTTCTTTTGTCCAGATGAGGAGAGACCAATGGTTGCATCTTAGATGGCTACTCACAAGTTTTTAAGACCACACTCACTACTCATCAAGGTAGGATTATAGAACATTATGTTTGTGAACTAAGTTATGCCAGTTAACCTATATGTCTCCCAGGATTGTGCACCTAAAATTCCAAGCCCAGTGATTCATTCCCTCAAGGTGTTTCAACCCTGAGGGAATATCAAAAGCAGGAGAGAAGCAGAAAGGTTGAACAGTGCAGTGTCCATACACAAGTGAGACTGAGGAGGAGAAATGGGATACAGGGTCAGGGAAGAAGGCAGGGCAAAGCTAGGAAGATGCTGAAGAAGTTACCTAGCACCTGAGTCACCTTCATTATGAGATCTTCGTGGTATGTCACCTTTGAAACTGTCCTAATATCCACACAGCAACCCCCATAGTGTCTGTACCGGGACACTGTCAGTGTTAGTATTATTCAATATGAAAGTCATCCTTGCAGGTAAAATGCAATAGTAGTAACAATATAAATGAAAATTTAAGGAACTTATTTATCAGTGCAGAAAAACTTTGATCAAATTCTCTGATTAAGATATCAAGAGTTTTCAAAAAAGGATAATAAATCTGATACCAATTTCCCTTAAAATAGTTCTTACTGTGAGTTGTCAAAAAATACAAGTTTGTCTTTGAACTCACATTTTTTTCATCTCTCAAGAAGATTACTTTCTAATCTTATCGACTTAGGTTTTTGGAATCACCAATGTATCTCTGTTATTACTTTTATTCTGCTCTGTAAGTCTCATCCAGCAGATAGTCAGAGAGCTACAGAGATACAATGATTACATTTATATGGGATAGAGTAAATGACAAACTAAAAATGAAACTCAGGAATAAAAGCAGCCAAAACACTGGTGAAATAAAACAGCGGATCACAATAAGTTCTTTTCCTCACTGCCAACACAGTAAGCCTCTCCTGGAATAGTACTAGCAATGAATTATTGGTTTAGCACTGAAATTTCAAGGAAGGCTTCCAAAAACAACATTTCCTTTCCTCTTTATAATATTCAACAAAACTAATGAAGATGGCTCCTGTAAGAAGATAGCACCAGCCTCAAATACATGACTGCCTCTTGCCCAAGAAAAAGACCAGAACAAATGTTGTTTTCGGTTGCATGGCTCTAAGGCCAGCCTTGCATAACACTCAGATGGAAGCATGGCCGTAACTAAGTAGACATGGCAAAGTGTTTCTCCATGACATTTTTCTATACAGTTCCAGGATATCAGGATCACCCTTTCTCTGCTCTACCACCAGCCAGTTTACCACACACAATTCTGTATCATTGATCTTAGGTATGTATAGTTTTATCCCTCTAATAGATGTGTGCTATAAAGAAATCACGTCAATTACTTCATTTGCATCTTCTCTGGAACCTAGAATAGAATCTAAAAAAGATACTTAATAAATGCTTGTACTCGTGGGTAAATTTTTTGTTGTTGTTAGGATATAAAAATATTGCATTATTATTCTGCTCTGAGCAGTGCCAGAGTACACGAGCTCAATTATAAACTACCTAGCCAAGGTCGGCAGTTCAAACTCACCAGCCGGTCCTTGGGAACCCTATGCAGGGTCACTATGCATCGGAATTGACTGGATGGCACTTAACAACAGTTGATCCAAAAAGTCATGTTGTGAGGGTCCCCATGAAATTCTGAATACGTGCATCTTCTCTTGGAGATTATCCATAGACATGTGGGCTTAATGGAGGGGGCCTTTTAGATCACCCACCAAGGCAGAATATTTCTGAATAAGGAAACAACACTCAGTCTGTGACCATGAACCAGCGGCTGGCCACAGAGGCTTTAGCAGCTGTCAATCTATAAGACTGAAGCTCAGGCTCCCCATCAATCTAAGAATCTTTGGCATGGCGTGGTAACTGCCATTAAAAAGGAAAGAGGATGCTTTCAATCGGCTCTAACAGCACAGCACTGTTGCTAGGGCTTTCTGAGGACCAAGATAAATTAATCTGAGAAGAAAAGCTTCCAGCTCCTGCAGTGGTAGCAACGTTAGAAAGGATCTTTCTGGTGCACTTTTTTCTCTGCTCTCACATTTGTAGTGCTGGATTGCCCCCAACTGGTACAACGAGAATATTCTGTAGCATTTTTTCCACCTTCCAGCTCTTCAATGAAGATACAATCTATACAAATGCCTGAAGACAAACCATGTTAAGTAATTCATTTTCAGCTATTAAATTTTAAATGTAATACAACAAAAATGAAAAAGAAGTCTGAGCAGTCTTGGAAATGTGTGAGGGTCAAATCACATTAAAAAAAAAAAATGAATAGAGAGGTTTATGAAAATGGCTCTCAAGCCACTACAAGTTCCTACACTATACAGGGCTGTGTTCTCTAATTCTTTTGTACATTATGAAGAGGGGGAGGGCTTTATAATCCTCTCTTTTCCTTCCTTTCTGCCTTCTTTCTTCCCATTATCAAATGTGTAGTAAGCATCTACCACAAACCAGTAGTCATACCTGGTAATGTTACATTTTCAGCATTATCTTAAACTTAATGCAGAGTCTCTATTCCCCTTTGCCTTTCCCCATTAGGAAGATACAGGACTAAACACTGAAAGAATGAGTGCCCCAGCAGTTGACTCATAGAGAATGGCGGGACCAGCATTTATGTCTTAAATCCAAAACCAAGCCTCACAGCATCCCTGAGGGCCAGAGTAGAGCTGTTCCCTAAGTTTTGGTGGTGGTGGTTATGTGCTATGGAGACGGTTCCGACCCTGCACAGGGTTTCCGAGGCTATATATCTTTATGGGAACAGAAAGCCTCATCTTTCTCCTATGGAACCCCTGGTAGTTTGGAACTGCTGACTTTGAGGTTAGCAGCCCTACTCGTTATGAGACTATAAGTATACACAGAAGCAGAAGGCCCCAGTGGTGGGGCTGGTGGCTTCAAGTTACAGAGAGAGGCGCGATGCTTAAACCACGGTACCATCACGGTTCCTTCTAGTTTTGAAGTTGCCCCTTTTTTCCTTAGCTATGCACAATCCTGTTGTTTTTGTTGTTAGGTGGCATCCAGTTGGTACTAACTCATAGCAATCCTATGTACAACAAAACACTGCCCAGTCCTGCACCATTCTCATAATTATAATTACATTTGAGCTCACTGCTGCTACCACTGCACCAATCAATCTCATTGAGGGGATCTTCCTATTGTTTTTTGCTGACCCTTTTTCACTAAGCATAATGTCCTTCTCCATGGACTGGTGCCTCTAAAGAGTATGTCTGAAGTTTGAGAGACAAAGTTTTGCCATTATGACTTCTAAAGAACATTCTGGCTGTACTTCTTCTAACACAGATTTGTTTGTTCTTCTGGAAGTCAATAGTATTTTCTATATTCATCTCCAACATCATAACTCACAGTCTTCCTTATTCACTGTCCAACTTTCCCATGCATGTGAGGCAAATTAAATATTAGGCACACCTTAGTCCTCAAACTGACATCCTTGCTGTTAAACACTTTACAGAGGTCTTGTGCAGCAAATATTCCTAATGCAATATGTCTTTTAATTTCTTGACAGCTGCTCCCATGAATAGT